GCAGGGTGGAAGGGGGGGGGGGGGTGAAAATATGGGGGGAGGGGGGTGCTGAGGGGCTGCTAGGACGGCTCCATTTTCAAAGCATTTTTTTTTTCATTTGTTTGCCTTTAACATTTCAGTGCTTTATGGGAGGGAGAAAACAGGGAGGAGGGCAGAAAGAATAAAGGACACATACTGAGAAATGGCCCAGATGGCCATCACTCATAAAAGCAATCCTTCAGGTCCGACTCATCAGCCTATCCACCATGTTAAGACAAGACACCCCAACTGTAAACCCCAACCCCCCTTCAAACTGCAGCTGCCAAAGGCAGATTTAAATCTTGGTTTGGAAGGAAAACATTGCCCTTCCCTCCAAGTGTCACCTTAGCGAAGCATCAAATACCACTCACCTGTACTGTAGTCCCAGGGTGGTTTCTTTTATTTGAAACCCAAACCTGTACAAAAAACTTCCCCACCCTGTTTTTGGCAGGCGATACAGACATCCGTATCTGTACATGTCCGTCTCTTAATACAATCCAAGAAGCGTGTCTTTATCCCCCTGAGGCTGCTTTTAATCCCCACATCATGAGAGGAACCGCAATAACCTCCTCATACTTGTTTCACTTCCCACAAGCATGTTTGGGACAAAGGCAGAGTTTAAATTCATCTGCTTGACTCTCTTGTGGATGACATGCTATTGTGCTACAGCAGCAGGAGGGAAGGATGCAGTTTACTAACTAAGAGGTGATGGGGGGGGGGAGAGAGATTACCTCAGTGGTTAGCACTTCATTACCATGTATCTCACATTTTAGTTTTATGTGCACAGCAGTGTCTTAGGTGGCCTGTAATGGGATAGCAAATGTCAGGCCTCACATACTCCTGGGAAGGTTTTTCTTCCCTCTTCTTTTTAAAAGGCAGATGACAGTAAATGGACCACCCTGACTAAGATTAATGTGAACCTGGGACAGGGCGAGACAACGGTGGGGTCACTGGGTTTTACTGCCAAGATGTTCAAGGTTCAGAGCAGTCGCACCAACAGAAAATCCCTTATGATATACAGTCCATGAGGTTTAGTAGGTAATATTCAAAAGAACTTTATATCTATATATATATATATATAGATAAATAGTTTTTTCCAAGTAGTCCATGGTCAAGTTTCTGAAGTAGTACCAAAGCTCATGATTGGGACCAACCATGTCCATCCTGGCAGCCTTAAGTGTTTTCATTGCTCTTCCACCTACAGAAAAGACTTGAATATCATGCACATTCAGCAGCAGTTTCTACCATAGATTTTCACAGAGAATGATTTCATTTCATAAATACGCCCACAAAAGTTGGAGGTTGCTAGTTGACAGACAAGTCCATGATCTCCTTTGGAAGTTGTTGTTTGTGTGACATTTTTGAGTGTTATTTTTGTATTTATTTGGTGTAACTGTTTTGCCCATTGTCAGTAATACAATATTTAGTTGTTGGCATTTACTTTTTATTCCATTTGCAAGACGTGTATTAGCTTTTCTGAATTTTTAATTTTGACTTGATTTCTCCAATATTAGCGGAGGTGTGTCTGCATTTGACTGTAAACACAGCTTTATGTGGCTGATAACTAACAATATAATTTATCTCATGCTTTGATTTTCTTAATCAACCCCCCTGACCCCCGCCCCGTGTGAAAGTGCTGCTTTTGGAGAGGTACAAAGGAAAAAGGAAACAACATGAGGTATCCACGCCCATGGCCTTATCAATCACAGTCACTGCGATGTCAGTTGGAGGATGACCAGCAAAAGGTTATCAGTGGAGACTTGTTGAAGTTTGGTAATGCATGAGAGAATGTGATTACAATGGACAACACTTTTCTGTTGACTCCAGGCTTTTTGCAACACATCGAACGGTGCAGCAGAATAACAGCCAGATGGGACAAAACTGGAAGGGAGTATTCCTGGTCATTTTTAGAGGAGGATATGAAAAATGGTTGAGTGAAAAAGGCAGAGAGGGGGAATGGCTATGAATGGAAAGAGAGGAAAAACAGAGGGAGAAACGGGGGGAAAGAAACTTTAATCACAGAAACACTAACCCATAAAAGAGAAGAAGCAGACACAAGTGGAAACCAGAGGAATGCAAGCCAGCTGGAGGATACATCCATCCATCCAGCTCTTTGGGCTGTATTTCTACTTAGTGCTACCAGTGGATTGTTCTGGGTTGGGGGTTGGTGAATAAAAGCAACTCTGAAACAAACACTAATTTAAAGTATAAACTTGAACAACCAGTGTTAAAACCGTGTGTGGAGAAGCCAAGCCAGTCCTGAGTTAACTCTCATTCCCAGCCTTGTCATCCTCAGATTTTCTCACTCTGGACGGACGCAGCTCACATACGGAGCCCTGACGACTTTAATTACTTAACTGGCCATTTTCTCGGACTTGCTCGGCCACAGCGTCTCATGGGCTTCCTCTCCGTCTCTCTTTTTTTCCCCCCTCTCCACAGCCTAGAATCTACACCAATATACTAGAGCTAAACCCACATCCCCTGATTGGGAGCCAAGACCAATTAGCTGTATTTCTGCTAGCTGAGCTGACTTTTCAGTTTTCATACTGGCTGCACAACAACTACAAGATGTTTTGCAATGGGAATTCTTATCAGTAGCTCAACCATCAGCACAACTCAGAGTTCACCCATTATCAACACAGGGGTTACATGCCAGAACTATTTCCTGCTCTTGGCTACTGGAGGCAGAGTGTGCGTGAATACATGTTTGAAGAGACTTGGCTCTGTCCTATCATGTCATTTCCCTCACACTTCTGTTCGTGTCTTTATCACAATGCCTGGGGGCAAACAACTTCCTCACTGGATTAGTTTTCATTGCCCTTGGAAAGTCGGAATTGATCACATTAGCTATAATGAGTGTAAAATATATCTTGTACATTGAGATTGTTGCCCTGGGGAGGAAAATCTGAGCTTTTTTTCCCCTGAAAGTAGCAATATTGCCTTAAACTGCTCTGTCATTTCTGAATATTTGAGTAGATGGATGAAGAAACCTGAGGAGTTCTGCTCTGTGCAACACAAACATTGGTTCAGGCATGCTTATAGTTCTCTTATGGTAGTACATCGTCTTTGCCCGGGTGAGTCTGTGGAATGAATGGGTCTGTGGGGCTGAATGATGTTCCTGAATGGCATACTGCACTATATCCCTCGACATGGACTAGCTCGAGCGGATCTCTGCAATCATGAGCAACAGGTGGGCTTGGACGGCATTCCCTCCACTGCAAACAATTTTGCTTTGAAAGCCCTAAAGCCTGATCCAAGACAGGAAAAACTTCCCATTAGAGCTGCTTATTTTCTTTGCAGGGACCACACACAGACACACACACACTCACACACACTAAAACATAACAAAGAGTACGCAAGGTGGTAGAGTTTGAGCCAAAGTTGGGAAAGCTAGGCCCTGTTTTTAGAAAGCAAGGTCCATTTCGTTATTATATGTGGTCTTAAGGCTTAAAATAGCAGCTGAAAACTTCAGGTACTTTAATCCTAGTCTGGAAACAATGAAAGGGTCAGATTAAGGGTCAGGATTAGAAAACCTCACCTCGATATAGTCATTCCTACTTCATTGTCTGAAAGGAGAAAAACTGAGTGACATTTTAACATTTCATGGAGTTTCAAGCCAGACTATTTTTTTGGCCTCAAGATGTAACTTCCTGGAATAACCGCTGATTATCTGGCAACAGGTCTGGCCAAGAAAATGTCTAGGACATACACAGCAAATAAAACATCAACTTGACAGATTTTACACTTCAGACTTTGTACGGATTAAACAAAGTAGATGCAACATGTTAATGTGGACGTATCTGAAAGTGCATATTTTATCAGCAGGGCTAACAAATTCTTTGTCTGTAGTCTATATGCTAACCTCAGTTAGCTGGCTGCTGGCGCTAGTGTGATTTGCAGTGAGTACAAAGGAAAGTGATGTGTGTGTCTTATTATGTGCCAGAAAGAAAAACATGAGCATTTTCCCATAATGTCAAATATGAAATAAACCAAAACCCATTGTTGGCCTGCACTTAAAAGTGATTTATTTCGACAGATATTTTCTTACAGTGCCATAATACAACTAGCAAAAGTGCATGAATACCAACTGAGGTGAACCATATATACACTGCCTTTGGGCTAAAGGTTGACTCTTTGCTCCAGCTTTGTTTTTCTGCTGGAGGAGGAGGAGGAGGAGGAGGAGGCATATGATTCCACAGATACAGTGGGCTGAACGTTGTAATCAGAACCCTGAGCCCAGTGCTGGGACTCTTGAGTGGTTTGAGAGTGGGCCAGACATTCCAGAAGAGATCGCCGCCCAGACACCCAGCAGCAGCCAGTCAGCAACAAATTCCAGAATAGCAGCCCCGCCGCTAAAAATAGTCATCTGGACAGGAGAGGGATGGAGAGCTGGCTGTGTGTGTGGATGGGGTGACTGGATGGAGGGTGAATGATAGAGGAGTGTAGGCTGTGCAGGAAAGGAGGGTAGTTTTATTCCATTCCATATCCAGTCACAATGTTATCACAGCGGTGCAGAGGAAAAGGAGTCCTGCAGGGATGTGAGTCAGAATCCCGTGAGCTGCTCTCTGAAACAGGGAGGGAGAATGAAAGAAGGCTTGTAAAAAGGCACATATGCGATTGTACATTAGGTGGTTGTATATGAATGTCCAAAAGCATGGACAGCAGCCTGTGAGGCTGTTATTCCTGCAACAATGTGTCAGCTAAATGAGGGAACACACACTCCACTGTACTCAGGACTTTTTTTAGGCCTGGCCCTGTGTTTATTTTTCCTGCAATGAATGGCCAGCTCGGTTTACAACAGCCACCCTAAACCTTCTCTGTGGAACATCCTGCCTGCAGGAGCGGCCAGACACGCCAGGGTATCACTGGTCTTGCCAAACGCTCTGCTACTTTTTGCTCAATTTGCAGAATATCCCTCTGCTTTTCCTATACAAAGCAATATAAACTGCAGACACAAGGAGCTGTAAACTGACTCGAGGGCCTCTTAATTAATTTGATGTTCATGACTACAATTCATCTGTGTGTGATGGTTTTAATCCATTACAGCTCATGTGGCCTGAATGGGGAGAGGCCCCATTCAGGCTTCAAGCTAAAAGTTGAGAATATGCTATATCCTCCTCTGTTGTTCAGACTTCTGCATCTGCAGGGCACAGAGTTGGGGTCAGGATAGGAGACAGGATGGTTTTTATTTGTGGAGGTTTAGCATTTTTGGACTCTGTAGCTCAATATACCCCCGCTATCCACCTTCAGGGGCAAACAGTCTCACCCAGATGGAAGGAGGAGGGTAAGGAGGAAAGAGTTCAGAGGGTCTGGCAGCTGGGCTTTATTTAAGGGTCAAAAAGTGAAACAGAAATTGTTCAGAAGACATAAAAAAAAATCCCTTTGAAACTCAGATCATATCAATGTCAGGAATGCATTCGTCCAAGTCTCAAAACAATGTTTTTGTTTTAAACCATACACCAGCTGCAGGAGCTTTTTACAAATGGCTGACAATTAATGACTTAATGCATCGTTGCGTAGTTGCTCTTTGATAGTCCTCATCTTGTCGAATTACATCCAATTTGACTGAGATGGACGGAATATACATCAGACCGGTTCTCGTTCCAAGGATAATCATCCTCTTTAAAGAGAAACATGATTGATGTCATTTTCTATAGTTCACCGTCGGAGTGACAGTGGATATCAATTTAAGAGGGATTTGTAAATAAAAGCCTTAAATGCTGATTTTACGGCTCCAAATGACTCACTCCAGCCAATTTCAGACTTGGGCTAACAGTTTCAGTGTGTGTTATTGGGGAAACCTAAATCCTTCCCTGCACCATACTGTAAAGGTATTTGAAGTTGTCGTCTTCCAAGGCACACAGTCTGTGTCTGGCCAGCGTGCACTGGGGGTGCTGTGCTACTCATCAGCACCAAGACTACAAAAAAGGCTGCAGAGCCCCCGCCTGCTTGCAAGAAAATGTGGATCAAATTAACCCAGCAGGAGCAATGTTCTCTCTCGACAATCAATGGACTCTCCAAGTCCCAGAAACAGACAGTGTTCTTTATTCCCCGTGCCAGACGTGAACTGTGTTCCTCTGTTCCATGTTGTCTGCTGCTGTTTGTTTGACTCTCCGTGGATCCTTATAGCCTACTTTTGGGGTGTGCTGGGCCCTAAAACACGATCACTATGCACAGAAATGCAAAATCAACACGCTAGTCACATAACTGCCCCGAGGATTTGTTTAATATTTGCGCTTATTCCAGCTTTAGTCTGGGTAGCCGCTGCTTTCGTGTTGGTTTTGGAGAGTGCAGTTGTGTTAGGCTTCGAACTTATTAATCAAAAAGGCAGCAGGCTGTTCATGATTGGGATTGACTACTGCTGCAGTTTCCTTTACCGGGACTGGCTGTCATTCAACAAGCGCTCTCTCCAAGACAAACAGAGCGTGCCTCTGTTTGGAATGATCCCAGCAATGACACATGTCCCTGTCTTCTGTGATTGAAAGCGCTCTAAATTGTTAGCGGTGTTGGAGTCAGTTTGGTCAGAAGGCATTAGTCTGATCTAATGGTTTTTAAAGGGGACTTGAGTTAATGTTGGAAAAGGTGTTGAAGGTTTTTACAGTGTTACAGTGACCTAGTTGTCATTTGTCCTTTTAACATATCTCTGACCCACGAACAGGCAAAGGACAAGGAGTCATAGTAATACATAGCATATGAGGTACATGTAGTAAAATAACGTTGTGTTTTTGCAATATCGAATAAACAACAGTCTGCAATATGTAAGCTTATGAAGGCTGGTTTTTTTTCTGTCGTTGTTTATGGGCTGTACTAAATCAGTTGAAACCAAAGCCAGGCATTGGCAATGTAAGAGAATACCTAACTTAAGGAGAATACTCTCCGTTATAATGTTATAATTCCCGTCCAGTTTATTAATGTGCAAATCATTATATTTCTTGCCAAGTTACGTCTGAATGCGCTGAGCTCATCTTGGTACATTTGGTTTACATGGCTCTGCTGATGTCACAAGTGGAGGTTTGTGAGATTTGTGTAGTAAATCATCACATGATGCTTCTCTGCTCTACCGTAGTCATCATGGATAAGCAATTGACCAGCTATGTTCGGCCATATTGCTAGCAGGACTTGAGTTGAGTTCGCAACAAGCAACTTTATTAAAAAGAAAGTATCTCTTTATACATCCTGAACTTGAACGCTACAGCCTTTTATTGCCAGTATCAATTTAAAATGTGGACAAAAACAGGACACCACTGTTATCTCACCCTTCCTTTTGCACCTTTTTGGGTCATATCTTCAAAATAGACTAAGAAATCAGGACGTCTTTTCCCATTAGACTTTTCTTTGTATCCATTACTGTAATAGAAAGACCTCAAAGTGGCAGTTGATGGATTTCAACCAAAGAGCTACTTCAAGGGCACTTAGTAATATGAAGAGCTACTTGTTTGATACAGACATCCTGAACAATGTAACAATAGTTAGTTCTGGGACATATAATAGTAGACACTGTTCTTACCATCGTCCATGAACCCATTTGAATATTATTGCAAGTGTAACTGATTCAAAAAGCACAGTACCAGTAAAATTTCTGACCCTCTTATTGACTAGTTTTATTTTTAGAACATACCCTACAGGCACCTTAGGTAGTACCAGGTACCAAGTTGGTGACCCCTGGTTTAGAGTAACTGTTTAGGATGGAAATGAAGGCCAGTCTGATACGTTTCCATTCTTTCTGATTCATAGAACTGTCCCAATTGGATTTCTGTTTCTTATCTTTACTAAGACAAGACAATTGACACAAACACGTTACTTTCAAGATTCATTTATTTGAGTTGATACAGTACTACAAATGCATTGTGTTTAGTAGAAATGCACCCAAATGGATGAATTAAGACATTTTACAAGATTTGAAGAAGTCCAATCATTTTCTCTCTCACCCCTCCCACCCCAAAAAACAAACCAAAAACATTTTGCCCCCACATTTGACCACTGCATTCTCTATGAGATGAAACCACTCTGTTCTAATGGAGCGTATGTTATGTGTTTGTGTGCAGTATGCTCTGGACAGTGTCCAAAAGAAGCCATGAACATGGAGTCTTTGAAAACAAATTAAATGGCTTGATCACCAATAAATACAAGTAAAAAAAAAACATATGATAATAGGTTCATTATCAAAAAAAAAAAGTAATAAAAGATACCAAAGGCACATGACTTGATTGACCTCGGCAGTCCAGGATCATCAATAGACAAACTAAAAAAAGACTGTGGCAAAGCCAAAAAGTAATGCAACATAACAAAATAATAATACTTAAATAACATATTAATACTAATTTATTTTATCGTCATAACAATATCCAGTCAAGTTTTCCTATAATTAGCCTTTCTGCAAACTAACAGATTTGCACCAGTCATCTCCAGTATGGCAGAGCGAGAGTTCATCATCAGTATAGTTTTTTTAATTGCTTTATATCAGCATTTAAATCTTCTTGCTGGTTCTTTAAATGCTTTGGTAGAGTCTGAAATCACTGTAATGTGTTTCCTCAGCTCCTCAGTGTTAGTTTGTGTTTCAGATTTTTTTTTTGTAGTAAAACCTGACAAAGTTGAGTTTTTGGCATTTTGGCCATTTTGGCTGCTCATGAACTTCTGTTATCCACAGAAGCAGCAAAACAAACCGACCCTGTTGATTTTCAAGAGAAATTTCAACACTTCAAGGAAGGAAGTTATTTCTGCCATAACATAAAGCAATATATGTTTCTTATATTTTGGAAAATCAAAAACAGAGGCATAATAAAACAAAATACTAACATAGTATAATTTTTTTCACTGTAAATCCAGTTGACATTAAAATGCAATACAAAAAGGCAATGAAATGCAATACAATGGGCAGCGGATCTTCCTTTTCAATCACTACCCAGGACCTTTGCATTTGCACGAGCGGACCACTGAAAACATTCAACATGTGATCTCACTCCCTGGAGTCATCTGCTGTCTGCTTTTTTTTTAAATCCACTTCAGATGATATTATGGGTGTCATTTATCATTTTCCCAACTTTATATTCTTGCTGAAAAGTGTGACACACTTTTTAACACTGTTAAAAACCACAGAAGTCACAGACTGGCCTTTGAGATCAAGCCTTTTCAGCTCTTCAAAGTGAACGCGGGGATGATTCATTTATCATAGAAGGTTCTCATGTCGAAGCCTTAAAAATGGTTTTCATTAGTCTTTAAAATCCTTAGTACCCTTGTATGAGCCAACGTTTCACTTCTTTGGAATAAAATAAAAACTTTCAGTCCTAGTCTTTTCACTCACTTGCTTCACTCTCACTAATCTACTTTACAATTCCTTCCAGAAACAAATCTCTCTTCTAACTATTTCCTATCACAGGGAAGTCACCTGTTTTCTCAAAACTGCCACATGCCTCAGTCTTCTACATTCTTCTCATCCTACTTTTCCTCTCCCTCAATCTCTACAGCGCTATACACTACTTCTACTCACTTGCTACTCACCAATGAAAACAACTGCTGGCTAATTGTGCTGTGCTGGAATAATGGACTAGTATACGCAGCTGGAGGCCCAGCACGGACCAGAGATCCCACCTGTGCTGAAGCAGTAGCCAAATCCAGCACAAACACGTCTCCAGTCCTGGTCTGAGGAATTTACTGTGTCATCAGGACGCTGACTAAAACAAACCACCCTACTAGGCTCTTTAAAAAGAGGTCTTAGCAAATCATTACCATTGCTAAAACCATACCTGTCTTTGGTAAAAAGTCTTTACGTCCCTGCTACGGAGCCTGGTTTATCAATGAGGTGGACTCGTAAAATTTCAAGGACAAGGTTAAAACAGCCAGGTGCATTCCAGGGCTGTGAGCTGGTGTCTGCCACATCTCCTTCACTAAATGTCCCACTCGGTGAGGACCCGCAGACCCAGTCTGTGTCCAACTCAGCCACCAAAATGGCTGACAAATCAAACTGCGGACTCAGAGACACAGGAGGCTGTGTTTTCTACCTGACGATTACTGATGAATCTGTGTGTGAGATCTAACTTGGTAAAAGATCTACGTTGGTCAGCTGTGCAGTGAAGGCCCTGGGTGTCTCCACATTCACAAACATAAGAAAAAAATAAAGCAAAACTGGTGAAAGGTCTGGCCTTTTCCTCCACTTTAAGGGAATGACATACATAATTTTTATTATGGATCAAAAAAGGCACTTCCTACATATTCCTCATTCCTCATATCATACACATATATAGGACTTATGCTTTTTTTATAATGTATAATTGTCTGTGTGTCTTACATGCACAGACATAGTTATATGGAGTATATATACGTTAACATAATTATATATGTCAGTTCCACTCAAAGAGTTGGAGACAAGGAGCTTTGGACTCTTCCAGTAACAGCCAGTACCCACCAGTTCTGAACTTACAGAAAACATAAAAATAAAAAGCTACAAAAAAATAATAATAAATAATCAGAAAAGTCAGTCAATTTTTTTGGAATCGAGACCCTGGTTTGTGTGTGTGTTTTTTTTTTTTTTTTCAAAGCAAGTAAAGATCACAAAAGCATGTGCTCGGTGTGAGTTTTAAGGTGCTTCTGTAAACTCAATCTGGGTGGTGTTCAGGGAGAGCCTACCAGTTTCTGGTTTGCTTGGTTTGTGATTCTAACCTGCCTTCTTGCTGAATATGTAAACATGTCAAACGTGGCAAAGTCTATGGGCGGGCCCAGAGAGCAGATCGGGTGGCGTTTCTCTCCTGCCAGCTTCTTCTCTCTCTACTGTTCACAAAAACCCCAACTCAATTTCCTGTGGTCAGAGAAGTGCACCTATTTGGGTTTGTGTGTGTGTGTGTGTGTGTGTGTGTATGTGTGGATAGACATGTATCCTTCAACAGTTAAGTCTCACTTGGAGCCAGGGCTTCTACATTTGGCCTATCCCAGTAACACACTGGTCGTTGATGCCACCCACATATATCTGTGCACACAAACACACCCACACACCCACCCACACACACAGTAGGGGTATATTTTACTTTACTTCTTTCTTTCTCTGCCACTTTCTATGCTAGGTGAGGTTGTTGCTGATGTCTAGAGCTTGCTGGTACACCTGCGTCATGTCCTCAAGGTCCCCGAGCAAGGAGAAGCTGCCATTGTCCCCCGGGGAGCCTTTCATTTTGGGGCCACGGGTAAATTTGGGTCCCTGTAGTTGAGGAGCTGCCTTGAAGCCCGTGAAGTTGTGGAGCTGCAGCAGGTTTTCAGCCGAGACACAGGCCCTGATGTTTGTGCGGAGGTGCGGGGTAGAGGGATGCCACTCAGCCCCACCAAGAGAGCTGGGCGACAGGGACAGAACGGAGCTGTCCTCCCCTACTATACTGGAAGGCCGGCTCTGACTGCGGGACAGACCTGAGTCAGTTGATGGAGGAGGCTCGCTCAGGACTGCAGCCACTGCCTCGGCTGACGGAGGCCCACTGTAGGTAGAGTACTTGCCGTTTCGCTTTAGAATGCCCTTTCTGCCCATCATTCTCTTGGGCGGGGAGGTGGCTAGCAGAGACATACTGGTCCCCCCTAAAAGCTCGGAGGACTCACTCCTTTCTGGGGAGGAGTAATACCCTGATTCCCGCTGTTGATTGTTCTTTAATATGCCTTTCTTGGGCAGAGTTGGCACTATCTTAGCTGGCGAACCTCCACCCATAGTTGGCTCCTCTTCCTCACGATCTGGACTGGAGGTCTCTTCAGCCCCATCAGCTTGTTGAGGCAGCACCGTTTGGCCCACCTGCACTCCCTCCAGACAGGAGCCATGCTGCTCCTCAGTAACCCTGGTCTTCAGGATCCCCTTCGGTCTCTTCAGACCCGGTTTATCCTCTGCTCCACAATGCATCTGTCCTCCCTCCATATTTTCTTTCTTTGCCTTCTTGGGCCTCTGCCGCAGAAGTTGAGGTACGGCTCCAGCTTTGGCTCCAGAACTACGTGGCTCAGTGCGGTTCTGCCAGTCGATGAAACGGGCCAGCATGGGTGAGCCTCCGAGGTCGTGTTGGCTCTCACAGTCGCACACACTGTTCTTCCAGCCCCAGTTCACCCACCAGTGATTGGCGATATCCTCCACTGTGGCCCTGCGCTCAGGGTTTACCATCAGCATCCAGCGAATCAGTCCACGGGCATCTACCCAAAAAAATCAGATTGAACAATTTTTAGAAAGTAGTCTTTTAATTTTAATTTTAATTTTTTTCAAAAAACGTGCTCTGTTGCATATTTAACGATGCTGCTAATTCAAGTTTAAAATCTGATGTTACACAGTTACAGTAAAAAGTAGATGTATTCATACTCGACTGGGTAAATGCTGTTAACGCAGTTCAACAACAATGATAAACAATAAAAACACCTTTGAGACAGAAGGTGAAATTTAAACATAGAGTTGTCAGACACATGGAGGTTAGTAATACAAAAGACAATGAAAAGGTTTTTGGCAGTACCTGAAGACTGAGTTGGCTCTTTGTACTCGCCATTGCTGATCTGACGAATGAGGTTCTTATGGTCTCCCCCATCAAACGGCATTGTCCCATAGACCAGGGTGTACAACAACACCCCAAGAGCCCAGCTGTCCACCTGTTGGAAAGAGAATGACAGTAGCTACAGTTACATTGTAACAAGCTGTAAATTGTACCAGTCGGTTAAGTAACTCAAGTGTTTGAAATCGTAGATTTCTGGTGGGATATGTCTAGATTTCACACAGATATCCCAGCCCTTCCCTCCTGCCTTCCTTATTTCTGTCAGGCAGAAATAAGTACTTTCCAACCACCAACCTAATGCACAGAGGGTTTTTAAGTTACATAAGAATTTGTGTCTGGGATACAGCGAGAGGTAATGAGTACAACAGATATGGAAGAGTGAAGATTTACTGGAGAAAGAATGCCTTTCAGAGATCAGCAGATGACCCATCAGTGTGTGTTTGTGTGAGTCAGAGAGGTGAAGGTATGTGCGACTTGATTGTGGTCAGGGAAGGAATGTGCGTTTGTGATGGTAGAAGAGGAAATCGGGAGCATTTAAGGAGCTGTTGTACTTCCTCTGAGGCTGCATCAAGAATGTTTCCCCTCTCCTGTTACCATTGGTCCACTCCTGAGGGCAGGACAGGGCACATACTATTGTTGAGTTCTATTTTTGTTGCATGTGTTTGCTGTAATTTGCAGCCTTGGCCCAAATACCGTTCTGTAATTTTGATTGCAATCGGACTGCTGTATTTTTTTTAGCACTCTTAAGTAAATTATAGTGAATTATGCATAATTGAAAGGTTGGACTTTAACTTCTAAAAGTGCTTTTTTTTCCTCTTTTGCTGCTTTGTTTTATGGAATCGATGCAATTTTAGAGACAACGCCTCTCAAAATGGCTTGGGAATTTCCAGCGAAGCGGCGTGGAGGAGATATTTTCACTTTCTTTGACCAAAAGTATTTGACTTTGACCATGAGCACATTTTTGAGGGCATGGAGCTCAAGTCTATCCCATTAAGATGAAAAGAAGGTTAGATTCAACTATCCTTCAGTTCCTCACTTCAAAGGACCCAGACCTCGTAGGAGGGAAAGGACCGGGGAGGGATGCAGGGAATGTCTGAGCTGTCCCACAGGAGAAGTTGCTGGAGAGATTTCCCTAGACTGGAAACTAAGAGTAATCCCTTTAAAAATCAAGGACAAAAGGACTACTTCCACTTGGTGGTGTTTCTATATGACATTGATTAAAAGTTATATTTAGAAGGAGCTCATGATGAAAATGCATATTAATAATGACTTTCATTAGCACCTAATATGCAAAGCACGAAGGGTCTATTTCTGTCTCACCTCTGGGCCACGGTATGGTCTCCCATTGACAATCTCTGGTGAAGCGTAGAGTGGACTACCACAGAAGGTTTGCAGCAGCTTGTCCTTATGGTAGAGGTTCGACAGCCCGAAATCAGCAATCTGTGAATGCAGGACATTGATTTTCATACAGGATGACATGCAAGTCACACGTTTACCTCAGAGGTGAGGTGTGGTATACCAATGGGCAGAGCGACAAAACAAAACAAGGGCATACCTTGATATTACAGTTTTCATCCAGTAGCACATTTTCCAGTTTTAGATCCCTGTGCACCACTCCATTCTGTAAGTTGAAGGGAAATGAACATAGCAATGACTGATGTGTCTATCAATGTATTATTCATGAAGGAAGGATACAAGTAACAGTCCTTTGTATTTACAGATGATTTACTCTGACAGTGCTCAGTTGCGTCTCTCAGGGGAAATCAAGGCAGCCTGTTGGTCTAGTACTCTTTAATTGGTCCTGTCCCTTCTGGGCTCTTTATGCTGACATCTGCTCTGATTCTCTTTTTTACATCAGCTCACATGTGTCACAAATACCCTGGCCTATAATTACCACATGATATGAATAATGTTCTCACAACATCTTTGGATTAAAAGACAACCAAGTTGTTAGAGCCTGTATTAAAAAAAAAGAAAAAAAGAATTAACATGTGGTATGCAGACACAGAACCCAGCTCGGATGCGAAGAAGTGACATCACCGCCGAAGGTTGTGCGCCACATAGCAGACCTCATTGGTTGCTGCCTTTTGCACACATGATCTTGATTGGTGGATATAAAGGAGAAATAGCTGCTTGTTGTGTCAGTAATTCACATCACCCCACCCAGCGGGAGGCTGTGCATGGTAGTGATGATTCATTGTTCGTGGCTGTCTGGGACTCTCCTATCTGTGGAGCATGACATCATCTCTAACTCCAGCTGGGAAGAATATGACAAGAGCATGAGCCTTTTTCTAACAAGCGAAAGGACCTTGTGTTTTTGGTGGTAGTAATTAAGGTGTAACATCTCTGGGGAGAAGGCTGTGGGGGTATCTGGGGACAACCCTGAGGGTGTCAACACATGAGACCAGAATCAAGGTTTGTTTTGTGCTCTGTGATGTACACCAAAAGGGGGAGGGATGGATTAAACTCTCCTGTGCCCTCCTCATGGAGAAACAGATGACTCCCTTACACTAACATGTTCCAAGAAAAGCATACAGAGTCAGCCCTACAAATTAATTGGCTATGTGAACGCTGGGGTGCATGATTAATGTAGCAGCAAGTCTGGAAAGCAAAAAGTCTGGATGTGTTTGAAGGAAGATATCAGGGGTATTTTCTTCTTCTTGTATTTATGGCGTATTCTCTCACCTTGTGGCAGTGGTGCACGGCAGAGACTATCTGTCTGAAGAAGTGTCGTGTCTCTCTTTCGCTCAGGCGCCTGCGCTCGCTGATGTAGTCGTACAGCTCACCCTTGCTGGCGTACTCCATCACGATCACAATCTTGTCCTTGTTTTCAAACACTGGGAAATAACAAGCAAACATTGTCAGACAACTAATGTAAAAGAAAACATATATACAGTATATAATCAGCAAGAGTAGAAGGAGCCATAGCTGTGTAGTTGTTCTATCACATTACATTAAAATCACAACAGAATATTGTTATGTAAAAGCCCCCCTCCCCACCCCACCCCGACCTCCACCACCAGTTTTGGAACAGGACTTCAAATTCCAGAGAAGCACATTACATCCATACACTTCTCTCAGGGTTACATCACCCAAAACCCACCTCATGTGTTTGGCTTCTTCACAACACTGCTGGGAGAAACTGTTAACTCAATCAAGCCCAGTCCTCTGAGACTGGAGCCAGTGGAAACCAGTGAAAACAAAGAGAAAGCAGAAGGAGAAAAAGTGATTCCCTGGATGACTTGATTCACCCATTAAAAAAGAGTCTTCATACGGGGATATTTACTTACTCCTCATTAAAGCCAGCTTTTCATATAAAAAAAATCCTATTAGTAATAAGGACAAAATGTGTTCTTATGTGAATTTGAATTATACATGATAGTAATTCGTGTCCTCACACATCCACTGACCAATGAAAAAAAAAACATAAAATTATTACTGTGTAACTGTAGTGAATGGCCATCCAACTGCAGCTCAGCAAACACATCATTCTTTGTCAGTTTAAAGTCCACTAGTGTATAATTTCATCTTGGCAGAAACTTTCTTCTCCCAGCGTCTTGGCATGAAGGGAATGAAATGGTTCGGCAGGGACGGAGAGAAAGAAGGAGTGAGGATGAGAGGGAAAGACAGAGGAGGAGATGACAACTGCACAGTCCGCCATGTTGCTCGGCATTGTGTGGGCTGATTTTCCCACACGGCAGGGTCAACAGGGTGAGGGCCTCTGCTTTCTGCACCCTTGAGTGAGCACCTTTATAGTGTGTCGCAAAACTTTTCCTCACCCACCCTCACCCCCTGCCCACCTTTAGAAGATATAATCCTCTAGAAAAACACAGCTGCTGAGTGATGGAGATGATCCCTGATTGGGTCTGGTTTTAGAATAGCTGAGCACCTGGAATGGCAGAATGGCTCACTGATTGGTGGAAATGTTGTGACCTGACATTTGACATTTGCTGTGATCCGTGGTATGGGTGGGGGGGTGGGGGGGGGTTTCAGTGAGCACTCACATATACCCTTGACCTCTGGAGTTAAAGTAATTACCTGTCTTACATAACTTGGGTTTGTTACAGCCCGTTGGCCACCACTGCAGGGTCTCTCTTTCATTCTTTGGGCTTTGTTCATGGGTCAGACCTTCACATCTGACTAATTAGCACCTATTGTCCCACTGCCTGCACTGATGACAGACCGCTGCTGCAGGCAGGCCCTATAAGCCCACAAAAAGGTGTAGTACAAAAGAAAAGTGAGCAAACTGTCAGAAACAACTAGTAGGCTGGGGCTCAAACCACCTGTGTGCTTTTTTCCTGGTACATTTTGGGTATTTTAATGATGAAAATAACACTTCCACCAAAACTGGTCTAATTTCCTTGAATTAGTCACCATCAAAACAGCTCTCCCACATTTATGTACCATCTAGCTGTACCTCACCTGTAGAGAATGCAGTATAATGAGTACAATAAAAAAATCTGCCTCTTTATTCGCAGCAGGGTGATGCAGGTTTTTTATGTCTTTTCTGATTTAATATGTTCTTCTTGTTTCCCCTGTTTGCTCGTAGAGTTGTTGATTTTTTTTTCGGGGGGGAAATTCTTTTTTTCTTGCCAAGTGTTAGATGAAAGGAATGGTGCCAGTCTTGAACCTGTTTGTTAAATATGAAGCTGCCAGATGTGTCTCTGATAGGTTATGGGTCGAACTAGTTCAGCTGTTCGTGACAAATTCTAAGTGAAGACACGAACGTCGAAGTCTTCTTGCCTGGCTGTCTTTACTTTGCTCTTTTATCTCCCTGGCAACATTTGTTCTGCTGATGTCCCAGCCTCCGTGAAAACCTATGCTCTTATGTGTTTACTTGAATGTATTGATTTGCACATTAACTACATTAATCTTTGCAATGTCTTTGTGTCATTTACGAGAGGTGCACGAGGATAAGTTCTTGTGCCTGGGGAGCAGAGGGAACAAAATCTGCTTTTAAATGCCCCTCACAGCATGCTGATGAATGCAGAATGTGAGGGAGTGGTTAAAATCCATCTTCACACACACATCTGTTTCAGCTTTGCTTCACACAAGGCAGTTAGCAGGGGTGTTGCCAGATACACAAATCTCTGGGCCTCCTATATATCTCTAAAGCAAGGCTGGGTGGAGGCCAGGCCACAACAGTAAACGCTGGGTTTGAGGAGAAACACCAAAGACTTAAAGCCATGAGTCTGGTTGAGTGTGTCGGCAGAGTATGGTGTCTATAAAGGAGTTCAGCAAACAAAGGAACAGCCATTATGGCTCTTGTGAGTTTATAAACCAAGGTTGGCTTTTTAATCATTCTCCTACATTATACATAAAACCTCAGCTGTACTTCAGACCTCCCGCTGACTGTTGGCACATGCCAATGGCAAACAGTGATGTTTGTCACATATACACTTTACACTGATTACAACCCACATACTTTTGTAAATCAACAAAGAACAGTGTGTAAGCCAGTTAGGGCACTGGCACAAATCCAGCAACCGTAGCGCTGAGCTAGCTCCATGAAAAGGGCCATTGAAAATGTTGCTCCGTTGACACTGACTTAAAAATAGTCACAAGTCACAAATCATATAAAACTGACTCATGAAAATTGGCTCATGTTGCAGCGCCTTGTGACATTTACTGCCTCCACATAGGCTCAGACTATGTTATAGCACATGATTAATGGCAGGCAGTACCTTACCTAAAAGTTCACAGGGAATTGTTAAGCTTTTACTATGAATGTTTTCTTTCAGTATGGTTAAGGTCATTCAAAAGTCCTCGAATCAAAAAAGGAAGCCCAAGCTGTTTGTGCTTAACTGGAAGGCCTTGACATTTAGAAAAGTGCTTCCTGAGTTAGAGATACCTTGATATTGCTCCAGGGAGGGTTAAGGCCTTTGCACATGCTGGACCAGAGTCAGACCATATGCCGGCCTGGATGACTGGGTCATTTTAGGGGCCATGTGTCTCCATTCACACGACACACACACACACACCAGGCTAACTTTTTTTTTAATTCAAGAAGCACCTGAACTTCCAGCTGAACACTTTAGGATACCCTGCATAAAGTCTAGTGGCAGAATCTGGGAATCATCAAACACAATACAATCATGATGTGGAAACTACAGTTTCTTGTGTTTTACATGGTAAAAGATAAAGAGAGGACTGACGAATGCAACTTAGTGTTTCTACAGCCCAACACTCAGACAGACACTACTTTCCAGTTTCAGTTGTCCCTAAGTATCAGCAGATGTCTGGCCCTAAGATCAAGACCACTGCAGACAAAGGATGAGACCTCTTAGATGTGGGAGAGGTAATCCCGTAGAATACCATTTCAGTAATATACACAAACCTTCATCAACACAAACACACACATGCTTTCAAAGTCATCCAGATGTTTACTGGCCCAGGCAACCAGAGGAAAAACAGATATGTAACAATAACAGCCCGGAATTCTAGTCCAGGTTCAGCATTAGATGACCTCAGGCCTAACTACACTCCTGTGGTATTTTTCTGTTTTTGTTTATAAACTGTATGCACCAGTAAACTATACTGTAGGTAATTATTTGTCTGGGGTGTTCATATCGTGGCCAACATTCAACAAACCCCTACCTTCATATATAGAGATGATATGTGGGTGGCGAAGGGACGACATGATCTCAATCTCCCGGCGGATATGAACCATATCTTGTTCATCCTTGATCTTCTCCTTCCGAATGGACTTAATAGCCACCTGCGGAGAAAGTATGACTCTTCAGTCAGACAAAAACTTGACCTTAAACTGAACAGATTACATTTGTAAAATGTATATAATATTTGGACTTGCTTGAAAGAGGCTTACACGCCTGTTAAAAAGGCAATGCCTCTCTGCAACTAACTTTCCTTCTTGGCAAAAAATATAAATGTTTTGAGTTACACAACAATGTCAACATGCTGCTTTTGGCTCATAGTGTTGCCAAAAAGTATGAAATTGACAAGATTTTATCAAGACAAAGACTTTGTATGAGGAAAACACTAATCAAAAAATGTGGTCGTCCACATTTTTGTGTCAATCGTTGCACCTCCCTGCCTAGAATGGTCTTGTAGGGCCTGTATGATGACCTTCAACCTATAGACTGAGCCTCACCTAAAAGCCATGAGTCACCCTCTCCTAACATGTGATTCATTCAGTTTTGTTTCTACAGACTAAGCAATAAAATAAGAGAGAGAAAAAACAACCTGACAACTGGTGTGATAATGGTGGCTTGCTTTGTACTCTGTAGGAATCACAGCCTTCACTTAACCAGGCATTAGTCTGGGTTTGGGCTGGGTCTATGATTTGAGGCCCCAAACTCTTCTTCACAGACAGATCAGAGGGCAAATGTAAAAACACGGTGGCTTCCACCGTCTACCTGAGTGAACCTGTTGTTAAGAAAATAAGGCAGTGCGTCTGCAGGCATGCATGACAGCACAACATCTGTGTTTGTTTACCATGTTCTCTGTCATATTTGAAGGGTTCTAACATGTAATGTAGCATAATAGGTTTCAGTGGCATATACAAAGTAGGCCACGGTAAGTTAGTTATACGTCTGCACCCAATTCCATGTGAATGTTTCAACAGCTGTGAGGCCATTTTGCAGCCACAAATACAGGTTTGAATGTTGTATGTATGTATATGTATATGTATATGTATATGTATATGTATATATATATATATATATATATCTGTCCTCCCCAATGTGGTGTATCTACAGGCAGACCCACATTACCACCCATAGTGCAGAGCAGACTTTTGAGTATAGAAGTGTGAGTAAGGTGCTAAATCTAAATTATTCCTGGTGGAAGACAGCGGAACTTTGGGGTCAGTATGCTCCTCCATATATCAGGTGTTGGTGTGAACATACAAAGCTGTTTCCTCCACAGCAGGAAAAGGCCCTCAAGAGGAAACTAAATCACAAACGGCTCTCCTTAGAATTAGAGTAAGTCTGATAAACAGCAGCTAAGTGACTACTTTTACAATAGCCCAGCCTGCTGTGAGTTTATGGAGAAGTCAGGAGAATGAATAAGTTTGGGGAAGTGATTCAGTCTACCAGCTTCACCCACAGGTCTCCTATGTGCAGTTGGACTATTCCTGATTTGACCATTTTTCAATGTCAGTGCAAACCCGCGGAGGTAAGAGTCAGCTGCGACTGCATGCATTCAAATGTCCAGTCTATGCTCTGCCTAAATAAGAGGCCAGTGGCCTTTTTCAAATAAACCAATCTCAAGCACAGTGGAGCACATGTCATTATAATTGTAGCCTAAATATTCTGGATTTAGTCCTGGTTTTGCTTTGATCTGGTCCGCATAGAGTCTGTCCGCTCTAACTTCTGTTAGTTTAAACTCTTGTCCTCCTGGATCTGAGCTGTGTTTTTTGAGGAGCCCAGCTCAATTCCATGCAGCAGAAACCACAGGCGGTGGTGAGTGCCAAGATAATTATCGTGTACATCAATAAAAATAACCCCAAACCGGAATAGTTCCCTTCCAGAGCATGCCTTGATTACATAGAATTTTAAGAAATGATACCATAATAAACAAGCTGGGGTCCGGGGATGGGGGGGGGAGGGGTAGTTCCACACGCTGTGTTCGTAATTAGTAAAAGTTGTCCGTGTTTTAACACTGTTGTTTTCCTTTGCATCATCAGAATTCTAAGCACTTTTATTCCAAACTGCGAGCAACATTTCTGACTTTGGCGGTCATCAGCAAAACAGAATGTGATTGAATCTGGATTTAATGAACCAGTAAATTTGAAGAAGAAGAAAAAAAACGCATTAATTTAGGCAAAAACTGGCATTCATTTTTACAAAGTTTTATGAAAAGGCAAGTAAAAATGCTTCTGTGTGACTGCTGCCTGAAACCAAAATAGTCTTTTCTTCTCTAGGGGCAACAACCAATCTTTTAAGAGCAATTATATGACTTCCATGCTGTATACGAGCTCAGCGACAGAGCCAGCTCTCCCACATTTGGCTTGAGACAAAGCCAGGTATCTGTTGTGTATCTCCTCATGTTCTCCTGCCCTGACCCACAATGTAGATCATTAACTAGGACTGCACATCAGCCACTTGCCAGTTGGACAGGCTGGCCGACCCAGCTATGCTTGTCCATAAGTGGATTCCTATCCACTGTCACTCACAGTAAACAGACGCCACAATACTGCACACATTAGCCCCTGTTAGGTATCCACTATCCCTAAACTTGTGGTTCCAAGCAGGCCTATTTTGTAGTGAAAGTCCATGTTTCGCTTCAACAGAGCTTGACATCTTCCTTCATTTTTCTCAGGCCATTAAAATAGATGAAGTACTCATTAAAAACTTTCCCAATCTCTGACTCAAGAAAGTTTACTGTCATTTACTGTGAGACTGAGTTCACAGGAGAAATATTTAGTGAGATTTTTTCCAGGGAACCACATAGCTCAGAAGACACACAGAACTTGCAATGGCTCATCGTCGGCACCACATTTAACAGAAGAATGTCTGTGTTTTCACCTCTAGCGTACCTCTCCAGTGAATCCATTGTTGAGGAGTGATGTAATCTGCTGCTTTAAGCTCATATTAATAGGCCTCTGTAAACACTTTAACTAAGGCCATGCCTCTTTTGTTGCTGTGGGCTTCCCTGTGTCTTTGGGCAAACAGCACACTGCTCTTGTCTGTGATTGATCCCCCCTTACAGGATATTAACCTTCCCCACCAATCTCATT